TGCGCACACACGTATAGTCAAGTACGTCCTCAGATTTTATGTCCATACACACATATATATGCGCACACACGTATAGTCAAGTACGTCCTCAGATTTTATGTCCATACACACATATATATGCGCACACACGTATAGTCAAGTACGTCCTCAGATTTTATGTCCATACACACATATATATGCGCACACACGTATAGTCAAGTACGTCCTCAGACTTTATGTCCATACACATATATGCGCACACACACGTGTAGTCAAGTACGTCCTCAGACTTTATGTCCATACACATATATGCGCACACACACGTGTAGTCAAGTACGTCCTCAGACTTTATGTCCATACACATATATGCGCACACACACGTATAGTCAAGTACGTCCTCAGACTTTATATACATATACATATATACACACACACGTGTATACTATATATATATATGTGTATAAGTCAAGAAGGCACTCTCATCTCACTCTCTCTAGAGAGTGAGACTGTCAGGATAATGGACATACAGTGACCAGGGCCCAATATGTTTTTCAAGCTGCCAGGGCTGGGATTTGAACCTGGGTAAGCTACTGAGCTATGAGACTAGATCTAAAATATACTGTATTTTCTATCTAAACTTTAAGAGATTAATTAGCAGTGGTTGTAGTTGACTTTGTAAGAATGTTCTAGGGTATAGACTGTTAGGGCCTGCTCCGTGTAAGTGCTCAGCAAATTTCCGTTGAGTTAATTTTGTTGTTTTAACCCATTTAAATGTAAGGTTGTGATGTGTTTTAGTCTTGACATGCACATAAGGCAAGTAAAGGTAGTGGAGTCATTTCTTCGATCTGTGTGAGCGTTGTATTCTTTTGAAGGTGCACACTTGATTGTTGTAAGTGAAGATAATGACGCGAGTCTCTGTGGTCAGGGCGGCACAACCCCACCGAGTAAGCCACCCCAGAAGGAAGGAAGTACTTGGAGTGCTTCCACACAGTGGCAGTGGGCCGATGGGTGTCTGCATGTCTCACTGTAGGTTTTCGTAATAAGTTGCCTTTTTTGATGGATGGGTAGAGGATTTTGCCTTAGTGTGCTTGTGCTCTCTGGGGAGATGGAGACAGACAATGAGAGGGAAGTGAGAAATCACCCCCTAGAGGGGATGGCCACTCCACAATCTCTTCTCATTCTTCTCCTGGGATCTTGGGCATGCACACACACACGCCAGGCGTGAGTTTCAAGCCCCACCGGGTCAGCACTGTGGCCAGCCATGTGGAGTCCAGCAATGTGACCACTACGCTATCTGCTGGCCCCTGCAGTAAGGTTTTTGTTTGTTTGTTTGTTTTTTGGAGAGGATTTTTCGCTATAGGGCGCGTGCGCTCACCAGACAGAGAGACATAGGGACAGAAAGCGAGAAATCACCCCCCAGGGGGGATGGTCACGCCGCAATCCCTTCTCCTCCATTCTCCTCCTGGGATCTTGGGCATGCACACACACGCGCCTGGTGTGAGTTTTAAGCCACCGGGTCCAGGGACGCGAGCCGCGGTCGACTACGTGGGAGTCCAGCGGCATAGCCATTATGGTAACTGCTGGTTCCCGACCTGCAGTAAGTTTTTAAAGGAGCTTCAAAATACTCTCAAATTACTAAAGCAGTTTCCATGTCTTCCTTGCTTTTCTGCTGAGGTTTCAGAGAAAGCCTGCTGGATCAAAGATTCATAGCAACTACAAATCAGATGGGATAATTAACTGCAGTGAATCAGAAATAGTGGCAGGTGATGGAGCACCAGCTCGGGACTGCACACGTGGTGGCCGTGAGCCCGAGGTCGGGGCTGTAACTCCAGAGGCTCAGCAACTCGAGCGGTCTTCTCTTGCAGCTCGGGTGTCCGATACCCAAAGCAGTGGTGAGGTGGGAAGGTCCGAGGACACGCCGCCAGTACCCTTGGGAGGACAGAGCAGAAGTGAAGGTCAGTGCCGGTCCTGTTACTGGAACTCTCGAACCTGTGGTTAGTGAGAGAGGGACCTTGCGGTCTGAACGGCATAGGCAGCCCATCGGGCTGCGTAAGAGCCTTTGCAATTCTTGCTCACATCTGAGTTTCTCGTCACTGTCTAGTGCCCTGTTTCTGTGGCTGCCACGTGGCAGACATGACCACGTATGTTGTGTAGTGGAATGTCTGTCCACAGGGACACGGTGTGTAACTGCAGAAGTCGGGGGGCGCTGTCCTTGTTCCTCCCTTTGCAAAGACAGAGAGGAAGGTAAAGGCAGAGGGGTCGTCTGCAGCTAGCCACTGGCCATTCCACCCTGTGTCAAAGCAAAGAGGCTCCTGAGGCCACCGGAGAGCCCAAGGCAGGGATCTCCAATGCGTGGACTCCCGCGTAGCTGTCCCCTGCTCAGTGAAGGGATTGTAAGAAGCCTGAGCTCAGCCAGGCAGGCCCAGCTATGGGGCCCTTGTCCCTGTCTCCTGACAGCTACCCCGGTCACCTCCTCTCTGGTCCCTGCCTCGATAGGTGTCCACACCGCATCCTCCAGAAGATGTATGTGGGTCCAACCCCGTCCCCCAACCCGCCAAACATTCTGAGCTCCCGACAGTTGTATGGAACCAGGCACTGATATCAGCCCCACTTGACAAATAGGTGTGGTTAATGTGAGTCTGCCCTGCAAGACAGGACTGTTGGATCATGAGCTCACAGGCTGGGAGATCAAAGTACAGGACTCTTCCACACCTGTTACCTGTCAGCCAGTGTCTGAAGCCTGAATCTTAGCGAAAGACAATGGAAAGGACACATTTTATTGGAATTTGAATACATCTTATTCAGTATTGGCCTATGTGAGGGCAACACTGTATCTGTATATATGTTGCAGAGGTACTCTAGTGAGGGCGACATTGTATCTGTATATATGTTGCAGAGGTACTCTATTGAGGACGACGCTGTATCTGTAGGTGTGTTGCAGAGGTACTGTAGGGAGGGCGACACTGTATCTGTAGGTGTGTTGCAGAGGTACTGTAGGGAAGGCGATGCTGTATCTGTAGTTGTGTTGCAGAGGTACTGTAGTGCTGGAATGCAGTAGGTGGAGAGGTCAGTGAGTGCTGAAGTGGGCATGATGGTAAAGTCAGCTCACCAGCTCCTGTGTGGGCTCCTTTAGTGGCCCAGTAACAAGGAGCACACCCAGTGGCCATTCCTGGGTCTCACAAGGTGAGTACTAGCCCACGGTTGAAGACAGAAAGCTTTACCTAGTCCTGGGACCTGGGAGATGTCCCGTGGGGTCCTGGGTGGATACTTGAAGCACATGGGACATGTCCTGCGTGGCCACTTTGCACTCATAAAGAGGGCAGCAGCATACCTATAGTGTGTCCTCAGGCCCACCGTGCCCGGTGAGGGCAGCAAAGAGGGACTGCAGGGCCACCCACAGCACAGTGACCTGGGCGCTGGGCCAGCAAGCCTGACCCTACATGGCCCACCAGGGCTCCTGTGCCACCAGCAGGCTGGAGAATTACATGAGAAGGACTGCAGCGGGACCAGGCCTGCAGGGAGTGCACCTCGCTCTCATGCACTGAGACTCCTCCATCCATGTGAGATGCAATGGAAGAAGTTGTCAGAGAGGGTACACAGGCCAGGGGCCAGAAGCACAGAGCAGGAGCTGCATGGCGTAGAGAGCCAGAACAGAGGAGCTGTGTGGGGTGTGACGGGATCCCTAAGAGCTGGCAGAGCAGCCGCCATGTGGAGAAGACTGGCCAACCAGCACCACAGGGAGTGGAGGCCCTCGACGTGGAGACAGCTCCCAGCTGAGCCTCGGGAAACCTGCCGCAGAGCCACGTGGCCTGGACCAGAAGCTTCCAAGGGGCAAGCTAGTACAACTGGGTGGGCGGGGCCAGCAGGTGGTGCAGTGATTACTTTGCTGACTCCCCCATGGCCAACCGTGGTTCGAGCCCCAGACTTGGTCGCTCGAAACTCATACTGAGCACATTGGCCTGTGTGCCCAAGATCCCAGGAGGAGAATAGAGGAGAAGGGACTGTGGCATGGCCACTTCCCCCCTAGGGAGTGATTTGTCTTTCACTGTAGTCCTGGGACCTGGGAGATGTCCCGTGGGGTCCTGGGTGGATACTTGAAGCACATGGGACATGTCCTGCGTGGCCACTTTGCACTCATAAAGAGGGCAGCAGCATACCTATAGTGTGTCCTCAGGCCCACCGTGCCCGGTGAGGGCAGCAAAGAGGGACTGCAGGGCCACCCACAGCACAGTGACCTGGGCGCTGGGCCAGCAAGCCTGACCCTACATGGCCCACCAGGGCTCCTGTGCCACCAGCAGGCTGGAGAATTACATGAGAAGGACTGCAGCGGGACCAGGCCTGCAGGGAGTGCACCTCGCTCTCATGCACTGAGACTCCTCCATCCATGTGAGATGCAATGGAAGAAGTTGTCAGAGAGGGTACACAGGCCAGGGGCCAGAAGCACAGAGCAGGAGCTGCATGGCGTAGAGAGCCAGAACAGAGGAGCTGTGTGGGGTGTGACGGGATCCCTAAGAGCTGGCAGAGCAGCCGCCATGTGGAGAAGACTGGCCAACCAGCACCACAGGGAGTGGAGGCCCTCGACGTGGAGACAGCTCCCAGCTGAGCCTCGGGAAACCTGCCGCAGAGCCACGTGGCCTGGACCAGAAGCTTCCAAGGGGCAAGCTAGTACAACTGGGTGGGCGGGGCCAGCAGGTGGTGCAGTGATTACTTTGCTGACTCCCCCATGGCCAACCGTGGTTCGAGCCCCAGACTTGGTCGCTCGAAACTCATACTGAGCACATTGGCCTGTGTGCCCAAGATCCCAGGAGGAGAATAGAGGAGAAGGGACTGTGGCATGGCCACTTCCCCCCTAGGGAGTGATTTGTCTTTCACTGTCTCTCTCTCTCTCTCCAACAAGCACATGCATCCTAAGGCAGAAGTCTCTTGAAAAAATTGTGTCACCACCAGTCCCAGGAGTGGTAAAGTACATAATTTCTGGAGTAATGGAGTCCTGGGTCCTTTCAAACAAAACTCGCACCTGTCTTTTTCCACATATCAACAAAGTATTAATACCGTAGTAATTTTAAACCCTCTGTTAACCATAGTACTTACAAATAACTTAAACAAGCACTGCGTTGGGCTGGGTTTTGCTGTTCTGGCTCTCCCACATAATTGTACAACTGTTAGGTTTTTATGCCCTGGAGTCTTACCCTGACCGTCCGTTCTGTCAGTAGGCTGAGCACAGATGAGACGGTGCCCTGAGATCAAGACACACAGGCATTCAGGCTTCCATCTGCAGGCCCTCCCTTCTGTTCACTCAGTGGCCCAGTGTGGCATGGTGCCCCAGGGTGGCCCAGGTGACGCCCCCAAGGGAGTCAGCCAACAATCTGGCGGGCCAGAGTGGAAGTGCATCTGTCTTGGGTCGGTGCCCCAGTGGCCCAGCAGGCCCCCTCGAATCGCAGTTGGAGCCCTGACCTGGCCGTCTGCCACAGCTGCGGTGAGTGCTGCGCCGTCAGACACTGACACGCACGTCACATCGGCGGGAATTCCCACGCGGCATCCTCAGGCTGTCGGAGCAAGACGGGACGTGGGTTTGTGACTGGGGTCTTATGCAAGGTGTGTGGGGTTTACTGCTGATGCTGAAATGGCAGACCACAGAATGCGAGTTATAGGAAACGTAGCAGAACTGCTCACAGTGACAGAGGTGAGGCAGGTACAGCCACTTGCCGTGAAAATGTCCTGCGCAGAAAGTGAGCGCCCCCACCCCAGTAACTGCTCGACAATGCCTCCAGCTACACCAGCACACGGGGACACTTCTTGGGCTTTTCTCACGTGGGCGCATCTAGTTTTACTCATGGTACGGAGCTCGTGCGTGAGAGTGAGGAGACACCCTCAGCAGGTCTTCGCCGCCGCATCAAGGGCACGTGTGTGCGTGCCCCACATGTATGGGGAAGACTTGGGGTGGCCTTCCCATGCAGGGAAGCAACACAGAGCACCACGTGACCCGTGCTGCCAGCTGGGCCCAGCAGCCACTGTAGCAGTGGGTCATGGTCACAGGTCTTGCTGTAAGGTGGGGTGGAGCCGCCGACGGTCCTTTCTCAAGGCTGTCTCACTATGGAGTGCCGTTTCCAGCTCATGAATTTCCACACAAAGCCCATTAAGTCTGGTTAGGTTGGCGTTGAATCTGTTTGGGGAGAGGCGGCATCTTGACCATACTCAGTCTAATGCCATGCACACGCCATGTCTTTCCCTCAGAGGCCTTTACCCTCTCGGCAGCGTTCTGTCATTGTCGGCACACAGGTCTGGCATGTCTTTTGCCACATTTGTCCCCGAGTGTTTCTTGTTTGTAATGCAATGGTAAGAAGTTACTTCCTGAAAAGAAGCCCCTCTTAAACCCTCATAGTTAGCATCATCTCTCCAGCTCTCAGCTGGCCTCTTGAAACAGGAGCACGTGCACACGGCTCCCTGTTGACCACCTGCACACGGTTCCCCACTGTCCACCTGCACATGGCTCCCTGCTGACCACCTGCACACGGCTCACTGCTGACCATGTTTTAACAGACTTTTTTAGAATTGTGGGGACCAGCAATTAGCGTAATGGCTACATCACTGGACTCCCACGTAGTCGATTGTGGTTCAAGTCCTGGACCCGGTGGCTTAAACTCACGCCGGACGCATGTATGTGCATGCCCAAGATCCCGAGAGGAGGGTGGAGGAGAAGGGATTGTGGCGTGGCCATCCCCCCAGGAGGTGATTTCTCCCTTTCTTTCTCTCTGTCTCTCTCTGTCTTTCTGGAGAGCGCATGTGCCCTGTAGCATTAAGAAAAAAGAATTGTTTATTTAATTTTATTTATTCATTAATTTATTTTAATTTGACCAGAGAGAGGTAGAGACAGAAAGTAAGAAAACAAGCCACCAGGTCCAGGACTCGAACTATGGTCGGCCATGTTGGAGTCCAGTGCCTTAACCACCACACC